GTAATTTGTGGCTTTCGGTTACAGGGCCCCAGTGTGGGAGTGTTGCTCAGTGCGGGTCAGGCCGTTAGCGTGAGGAGTCGCCCAAAGGTAGCTATTGTTTCCTGCCGTGTCCTTCCAGCTCCCGCTTCCAGATGCGGTGAGGCGAGGCCTGGGAGAAGGGGACCCCGGGGTGCCGGGATGCTGCCGGGAACCGCCGCAGACTCCCTCGTCCGACGCCTGGGAGCACCTCTCCCGCCTTGGGGAGACGAGAGAGCGAGGGAGCGAACGCACAGAGCAGGGCCTGCTCCTTTTTCCCCGGTTTGGCACTTGCAGTTGGCTCATGGGTTTGTGGTATTCGGTTTCAGGCTTAGGGATTTCAAAAAAACCAGCCGGCGCTGCTCCTGGGAGGAAGGAAGAGTGAGCTATACTTTTCTCATTGGCCCGAACAAAAAACAGAAGCCTCTGCTGGGGTTTGGGAGTGGTTTATGGGCTGAGCTCAGTGGCAGGGGAGCCCTTGCAATGCCAGAGGGAATAGAGCCGTATGGTGCGCTGTACCTATTGCGAGAGAAAAGGAGCTAAGCTCAGGGTAATGCTGCCTCTGCGTGTGCTTGCGCGTCTCCCCCGAGTTCATGTGCATGTACGTTGCGCCTCTGCGTTCCCCTGCCTGTGTCTGTGTGCCTGCGCCTGTGTGCGTTCGCATCCCGGCGTGTCTGTCGCTGTCTTTGTTTCTCTGTTTGCTTGCGGGTTTGTAGCTATGCGTGGCGAGTGCATTGTGGGTTTGCCTGGGAGTGTGGTATCTGCGCTGGCTTATGGAGCGGTGTCTCTGTGTGGTTTCTGTGTTCCCAGCTCTCTCTGTTTGCTTAGTGTTTTAGCTTCATTTGTATCATCTCCCTCTCTCTTTTTTTGAGATCTCTATGTGTGTTCTCTGTGAGTTTGCAGGTTACTCCATGTTTCTTCGCATCATTTCTCTAACAAATTTCCCTGGATTTTGGGGGGGAAAGTTCCCCTTTGCCCCACTCTGCAAATTCTTCCTCCAAAATAATAATACATTACCTTGAACAATTTCAGGCTTGTGGAGAGCATGAAACAAACTCTTCAGTGGGGAAGGGAAGCTCCCCCACAACAGATTACAAGCAGCTGCATGTTTTAAAACCCGAACTGAGGCTGTGCAGGGAGATAAAGTGGAGTATGCAGGGATTGGATGTGGTAGCAGTTGTGGAAAAAAAATTAAAGTTGGGGCATCTTTTGCGTCGCCTGTTTTTTCAGGGTGTAAATCTGGTCAGATTGCCTCTCCATGCTCTACTTGGGATTGTGTTCCTGTATCCCGCTTTACCTGCCCTGGCCCAGAGCACTGAAGGCAGAGAGCTGTGACCAGAGCACGCAGTGGGATGTAGTTTCTAGATTTCTTTCAATATGGATGCTGTGTATTGGCTTTTCTCCCCCCTCTTCTCTCTTTTTTTTTTTTTTTTTGGTTGAGGAAAAACCTGAAAAGTTGAGTCGTTCTCCAAATTAGCAGCTGTTAGTGATGAGAAGCTGCTTGCTGAGGTTGAAGCCGAGTGGTATATAAGATTAGCTGTGGCATGGAGCTGTGCTGGGACCATGTGACTGCGGTGTACATTGGAAGAGGAAGCTGTAGAGGTCAATGCAAAGGCATTGTGCCAGACTCTGGCAACAAGGGAGATTGCTATATGGCGGAAGATTTCTTTTTCAGGCTCCTGAGCCTTTCGGTAGCTGTTGGGGTTGGACAAAAGCAGCCCTGTAAGATTAACAGCAGAAATTAAATGGCATGGCTCATTTGTGGATGGAAAGAAAAGCTGTTTTTTTTTCCAAATGCTTTGTAGGTTTTTATTAATCACCATACGTGGCTCTTTCACTAAAACCACCTTTATTGGAATGGAAATTGTTGTGTTTAGAGGAGTTTCAAGAAAACAGAGGGAAAATGAGGAAAAGCAAGGGGAGGGGAAAGTTATGTGTTCACAGTTATATCTGCCTTGGTGTTTTCTCACAAAACTAAATTTTAAGCACTTTGATTTGACAGAGAATTCAATCCTGTTATTTCCTCTCTGCACACAAACAGATCGACAGCTTCAAGTTTAGATTATTGACTACTGAGGAATAAATAAAACCGGCTAATGCTTGGGCTGTTTATGCCCTTTCAGAATATCTTAATGTGAACGGGTAATTGTTGGTAGGTAGCACTGTCTTAGAAAATGTTTGTTAGTGTGATGTTTACATCTGACCTTTTGGAAACTGAAAGTAATCGATTCCATAAGGACTTGAATTTTTTACTTGAAATCGACATGAACCTCTAATACTCAACACTGCCCACAAACTGAGAATTTCCGTGTTGTTTTCATGTTTTATGAGCAATTATTCAATCTGTGACTTCTTGCAGTTTGGCTGGAAGAAAGGCAACTTCCTTTCTGGGCTTCTTTTATTGTTTTTTAAATTCTATCTGACTTGTAATCAACAACATCTTGGTAGAGAAAACATAAAAGGAGAAATTAAAAAAAAAAAGTGTGTTTGGGAGGGAAGGACTTATATTTTGAAATGGAGCATATTGAGAGTCTAGACAGCTTCTTGGCTAGCTGTGATTTTTGAAGCATCTGAAATGCCCCAGGGGCAGAAAAAGCGCTCTTCCTGCTTCTGAAGGATTAAAAAAAAAAAAATAAAAAATTCCAGAGTGGGCAAGAGGAGAGACGTGTAATTGCACAAGGAGAGGTTTTAATTGTGAGATGAAGGCGCAGGACCTTTTTTGAAGCCCACAAATTGACTGTCTTCATGACAGCATTGCGTATCATTCTGTCAACTCCGGCTCGGGATGTGGTTGCTAGGCAGCGGGCTCTTATGTACCTATAGTCTCTCTGATTTGCCAGCCTTCTGCAGACACATGGTAAGGTCCTTTCCAGCCTATCATCTAGAGGGACTTTTGCACGCCGTCTGCATACTGCTGAGATTCTCTCTACCTGAATGTGATGAGAAAAAGATACAGTTAAATGAAACCTTTTTGCTTTTTTTTTA